CTAGCATTCTCAATCCATCGCTGTCAGTCCTTGGCCTCCTCCTGTATTTCACTGGATGGCAAAATATAGAAAATGGACTTAGTTTCTCTGTTCTCAACATGAGAGTCATTTCCACAAGAGAATGAACATTACCCATTTGATTCTAGTATATCCCACTGCCTAGAGTTGTAGGTCTCCACCGGGGGCAAGTGTGCTCACCAGGGGACATTTGGCAATGTCTGGACTTTGGTTGTCACAGACATTGACAGCAGTTACTATCGATGGGGTGGGGCGGCAGTTACTACTGGCATTGAGTGGGTGGACGCCAGAGATGCTGTCTAATACATGGCTGTGCACAGGACAAGCCCCCCATAGAATATCCAGTCCAAATGCCCAAGGTGTCAAGGTTAAGGAAGCCTGACCTAGATGCAGAGCAGGGACGCAACAAATATTGGCTACTTGAGTGAATAAATAATGAATATTGAGGCTCACATCAATGGAAATGCCTGTGCAGTTCTCATGATACTGACGGTCTCTTCTCAGGATACTAATATCTCACTTACCTCTTCATTCAACAAATATTCACTGAGCACGTACTATGCCATGCGTTCTGCGCTATGTGTGCAGTAGTGAATAGGCCACACACAGGCCCTGACCTCTGAGCCTAGAGGGAAAAAAGAAGATTCCATACAGGCATCCAGGGACGTAGGTGCTTCTCCAGCTCTGTCACTATTAGTCACATGACCTGAGATAAGTCACCGGACTTCTTTGGACATCTCTTCCTCATATGTAAAATGTAAGGGTTGCTTTGATGTTGAAGCTTACTTCCAACATCTAAAGTCTATGCATTTAGTTGATCATAGAGGATCGGTTCCTCTTGAGCATTTTTACATTCATACAGTGCCATTAGCATTGATTATAAAAGTTTCAGTGGGCCACATGTCCTGCAATAGTCGTCAATAAATGACCACCTGACAGGACACACTGCAAGTTTTCTGATGTAAAATGATCTCCAAGGGGGAGACACTCCTCACCCCCAGACCGCCGCAGTCAGAATCTCCCACATGTCCAAAGGGTCTACATTTCTTTTCTATCCTGTTTAAAAACTCCTTATTATGAACACTTTCAAGTACACAGAACATCATCGAGAGGAGCCCAGTGAAGAGCAGTGACTGACCCAACAAGCATTCCTATTGAGCCATATTTGCCTCACCTCATTCTGTCTCTATTTACCAGAATCATTTAAAAGTCAATTGTTGATCAAGAGCAGCAGTCCTCCAAGTGTGATCTGAGGACACCATGGGGGTCCCCAAGACCTTTTGCGAGGTTCTATGCTGTCAAATTATTTTTATAATAATTTTACATTCTTTACCCTTTCCATTCTCATTCTCCTGTGAGTGAGAATGGCAGAATTTTTCAGAGGCTAACATGACACATAATTTTGCAACAGGTGGAATATAGAAGCAGGTATGAGAGGTCATCTACTCAGCCATTCATCAATGGTTTTTAAAATGTAAGAAGTCATTTATTCTATCATGACACTTCATCCCTGACTACTGCAATATGCAACTCCAAAAAGGAAGACTCTACCTATACAGAGTGTATCTATCTATGTAACAAAGTGTCTTGAAATATGGTACCAGAAACAAACATCTGGCTGTTTCTCCCTCTGCCTGCCATTCAGGAGGGGCTTAACCAGGTGTCTACCATACCACAAGATTATCCCATCTCATAAAATTTCCAGTAGTTTCCTTATATCAGTTAATAGGCACTCACATAAACATAACTCAGCTGTCCCTAAATGCCTATAATAGATCTTTGCTCAGGCCAGAAGCCAATCAAGAGCTACAAATGATATTTTGATTATGGTCAAGGACTGAATGTGTCTCCTCCAAATTCACATGTGGAATCCTCACACCCAATGGGATGGTGTTAGGAGGCGAGGCCTTTGACAGGTGATCAGTTTATGAGGGTGAAGCCTTAATGAATGGGGCTAGTGCCCTTCTAAGAGGCCTGAGAGCTGGTTGGGTCTCTTCTCTCCATGTGAAAACACATTAAGAAGTCAGTCATCTGCATCCCACAAGAGGGCTCTCACCAAAAATGGACCATGCTGGCACCTTGATCTTGGACTTCCAGACTCCAGAACTGTGAGAAATAAATGCTGATGTTAAGCCACCCAGGCTCTGGAACCATCCCATAACAACGGAGATGAGCATGACAGTTACTCAGTCTTTTAAGTCTCATTTGATGAGGGATCTTCCCTTTTTATTTATTTATTTATTTATTTATTTATTTATTTATTTATTTATTTATTTATTTATTTATTTGCCTGATACTGACTTGTTGCAAAGACAGGGCCCAATGGCTCAGTGAAGGTGCCAAGCCCTTTAAGGCACACGAAGGTGCAAGGAGCCACTCTGAGGTACAGGATACAGAGGGGCTGCCTGGACAGCCTAGAATGTGACCTGTAAGGACAACGACCAGCAGAGGGTAAGGGGGCTGCTGGTGCTCACCCTTCTACACATCTTTCACACTGAACATCAGTCCTCTCTGGGAGACCAAGTCTCATGGGGCCAAGAGAGTCCAAGAGAGAGCTAATGGCAGGGGAACGGGCAGCAGGACACATTACAGTCCCGGGCCAGAGTAGGGGGACAAGGACAACTATGCCTCCACCCGCAAAGCCACTGCCATCACTGCTTCCTGCCTCTTGAGAATTTTCCAGCATGTATACCCCCCTTACATCTATCTGATCCCTGCAAAAAGGCAAGGAAGCAGGACCAGCACGTGCAGTTGGTCCCATTTTATGGGTATGGCAACTGCTCCACAGGGAAGGGCTGCAGTCAAAGCCACCCAGCCAAGTGGCAGAGCCAGACTTTAGACATAAGTAAGTCCCACTTTAGACATAAGTTTCCCATGGAAGCTTAAAGCATGTGACCTTCCATTCCCCAGAGAGGTTTGGGGGCAGTTTGCCTTGACCTCCCCTACCTGTGGTCTACACCACACCGCCTCATCCCACCATCAGTGCCAGCAACACGGGTCTTTTCGTTCCCTGCTTACGACACCTCTGCCAGCACCACTCAGCCCACTTTCGCAGATAGAGAGAGGAACTCAACATTAGTCCACACCAGGTTCCAAGTGGCCCCATACAAGGACACATCCAGGTGTGCCACTTGCTGAGTCCAGCAGCGGTGGACACACACTGACCTACTGTCTGCAGGTCCCGTTTCCCCTGACACCCCTTCTGCTGAAATGGCTTCCCAGCTACAACTAGCACACAAATAAGCCACCCCTCTTTGACGGAAGCTATTTCTGGACCCCACAGCATATAGAAGCCTTCACTTTGTATTTCGTCTATATACAACACTGTGGAAGGGAATCCGAACTCTGACCAAGGCTCAGCAACAAACCAATCACAGGAAATGAATTCTAGAATACTGGAGCCAGAAGAACATTTAGAGATCTTCTGAATCATTGGTTCTCACCTGACCAATGGAGCCCCCTGCCCGCCCCCCATCAGAGAGAGGGGCAGTGTCTGCAGACATTTTTCGTTGTCACAACTTGGAGAGAAGGGAAGGAGTGTTACTGGCATCTGGTGGGTGGAGACCAGGGATGCTGCTAAACATCATACAGTGTGCAGGGCAGCCCCATGACTAAGAATGATGCAGCCTAAAATGTCACTAGTGCTGAGGTGGAGAAACCCTGCTCTAAACTCCTGGGTTCCTTCAAATATGAGAAAACTGAGGCCGAAAGACATAAAGTGACTTGTCCAAGGTTACACAGCCCCAAGCCAGAAGTGGAATCCGGGTCCCCACCGCCTCTGTCTCCATTGTCTGTTCTGCTCCAGTTGGGCTGGGGGACAAGTGAGGGTGGGGACCCAAAGGAAGTCAACCTGCGCCAATGAAGAAGACAGCAATAAAGAAATTATGGGTGTGCAACCTCAGAGAGGAATGCCTTCCTCAATTATATCCACAACAGCGGCATTGCCTTGCAGGTCCCCCAACAGTGGCTGGTGGGTCACAGTATTCACCGTGCGAGTTCCAATAGAGTTCACTGCCCCTGCAGCTCCTTAGAGGGCACCCCGGTTTACAGGAATGAATGCCACTTTCTCCTCCTACGTGTGCCCACTCCTGCCCTAGCTTTGGGTGGGTTTTGAACCAAAGGAAGGTATCTACACAAAGGTTTGGACCTCCCAAGTCCATAAAAATCCCACTGAACTGAAAAGTCACCTGACCCCCCTTCCATCTGCCGCTGAGTCATTGTCGGCCCCTTCTGTCAGCAAGCTCATTATTCTGCAAGGGGATTCACAACAATGCTGGGAATTCTTGGGTTTTTGTGCTTGCCTCCACCCCCACCCTCTTCCAAAGACCATTTTGTTCTTAAGAGAGCTGATTCACTCTCTTTCCCTCACGTGTTATCTTTAGAGGCTGCATTGTATTGTAGTTAATATTATTGGATACTGTTATTTTTAAATCTACTTAAAACACCTGAAGGGGGTAAAATACATTTATGAGATATCCCCTTTAAATGCTGAAACCTTGCAAAATAAGGCAAAAATGCTTTGGATTGCATATCTAGCTCTTTAAACTGCTAATGAAGAAGTTTCCATTCCATTCAAAGCAAAGCAGCTTTTGCTTGAAAGAAATCAGGCTCAATTCTCAGGACAAACCCCTGTCAGAATTAGTATAATGGACCGTTATTTAAGAAGCACAATGACAGCTGAAAATAGTTGATAGTTATCTTGACCAGGCCCCACTCTCTCCTTCTAAAGCCTGCATTAGTGACCATTCCAGATTTTTCCCCTCCTGAACAAGAGACCAAGTCTTCCTGCCTGGCCCCTGCCCACTTTCCTGGGATGGGCATGCAAAAGACCCAAGTCACGCTGGCCTGCAGCAGCCCCTCTCTCCCCTGCCTCCGCACCTGGTGCATGCAAAACTGAAGCAACCACAGACCCCACTTTGCCTTCCTGGGGCGCTGCCAGGCCGCAGGCCCGCGGGTGGGACTAGGAGTCGCGCGCCCCTTACCTGCAGTGCCTCATGGCGTAGCCCGACCACCCACCTGCACAGCATCCTAACTAGAGCATCCTTTCTTCAACGCCCAGGCTGCGAGCGCGGTGACGTCACCGGAGGCGGGTCCCACGCCGTCACGTGACACCCTCGCGGTGGGGGGGCCGGCCCACGGGAGGTGGCGAAAAGTGGTGGGCAGGCAGGCTGGGCTTGGGGGAGACCCTGGGTGTACTTGGAGGTAAGGGACGAGTAGCCGGAAAGCTCCAGCCTCCCTTCTGGGCGCTGAGCTCGCTGCGCGCCGCTGGCTTGGCCTTCCACCAACTTTGAGAAACAAACGACAAAGAGGGAGAAATCCAAATGATTACAGGCTCTGCGAACGTAATAGGATTTCAAGAGAGCCAGCAGTAAGGGGATTAGTAATGAAAGGAAATAATTTAGTGTTTTATTTTTAAAAGTCTTTATCAAATGCAGTGGAGAAATAAGTATATTTTCTGTGAAATTGACAGTGAAAATATAGAGTGCATGGACATACTTTACACAGAGGGCCAGTGTTTCAAATCGCATATGAAACAGGATAGCAAACACTTGCATTTGAAGCATATTCATTATGGAGTATTATACTAATTGCACTGATGAATAATGCTCTTAATGACTCCCAATAGCTACATTCCAGCATTAACCTGTATTTGCCAAAGAAAAAGGTAGTAACAACATATATTTATACTACTTCCTTGAACATCTGATTATTTAAAATAAAGCCCTATTGCATGAGCGTGGTTGTCCACGTGTCTGTGTGTTTTCTTAAATCTTCTGGCAAGGACTTTGATCTGTCTTGACAGGACAGAGTTAATTCACAGTAGCTCATTATTTCACGTTTTCTAATTTTCATCACATTCTGCAGAAGTGAGTCATTGTACTATTCTAGAAAATATGTACAATGTCAACATTCCTCGTGCACAATCAACAACAGGCTTGCCTAGAAAGCCTGAGATAATTCCAACTGTGGTCATTTTGTAAATTAGAAATGGCATATTTCAAACTCAAGCAGTGAATGTATCAACTTTGCTCGCCAAACCACACAACTGTTTCTGAACTGTGAAAGGACAAGAGCGAGAACTGTTTTTATTTGTATTCCAGTTTCGCATAGACTAGTTTACTTGCGCTTGCGTTGGAATCACCATTTTAACGTTCCCTTTCTTGTGCCCCTGGAGGGGATGTGAAATGGATTGTTTTACAAGCAGGCCAGGCTTACTTGCTATTTATTCCAGCAGCTTTCATGTCCTTCTATATTTAACCCCAGGCATTTGACTGCCATTCCCTCCAGATGAACACAATTTCTGTTCAGAATGCCAGTCTCTAATTTAGGGGTAAATATGACCCTCTCTCAGCCACCGATTATTTTCAACACCAGATTTTAAAAAGCAACAAAGTGGCCGTGAGGTTTTCTAGGTTACTCTTCTCAAGTTTGTTTCCTTGAGTGATAAGCAACTTACCTTCTGCTTTCAGATGCCTGAGATATAGAGTTAAAATGTTACCGAAATCCCCTCTCTTGTGGGTTCAGGGTCTGATGGAGATAGAAATTGACAGGCTCACTCTCCTGCCAGAGGTGACAGTAGATTTTAGCCTCGCACAACCAGGCCTTCCCACCCCGCCCCCAGCCAGCCGGGGAGTGTCACGTGCTCCTCCCAGCCACTCAGCCCTGCCCAGTCGGCTCTGTCACCTCTTGTCTCTGGAGGCCGGTCAGGCCATTTTTCTTCGCCTACACTGGGGCATTCTCGCCCAGAGAACACCCAGCGTCCCCAGCACAGGAAGCCCTGCGGGGCTGTGCAGACCACTGCGACACAGTTCCAAGAATCAGCGTGGGGCGGGCGTCCTATAATAAAATGCCCTCCTGCGGTCGGAGGTGATTTGCTCTGTGTTCCGGGTTGGTGCAAATGTCAAAAGTAGAGCCACCTTCCTCCCCTTGGGTGACTTTTTTGCCCATTGCTTAGTTTCACCTTCCGTTTTCAAGGTGACTGCTCAAGTGTAAAAGGCATTAGAGCAAATAGGCAATTCAGAAAAGGCCGGAAAACTATGCAATTTTCAACAGAATGACATAACTCTTCCAACATCCTCCATGCCCACCATGAAACTTGTCAATTTGGCAAAGATTTTTTAATTAAAAAAAAAAGATACCACCCATGAGTATGTAAATTGAACAATCTTCCTTGTGGGCTGTTGAGCTTTTTTTTTTTTTTTTTTTTTTTTTTTTTACTAAGAACCTTACAAGTCTGCATGTTTGAAAAATACTGTGCTCCCCATGACTGTGGAATTTTGACATAGGGGGCAAAAGGAAAAGAGTACAAACAACCACTTTGGGAAAGTTTGCTGCAGTATTTATTATTTATGATCTCAAAGCACTGAAGGCAAGTTAAATCTCCAAAAACAGAGGATGGGTTAAATTATAGGACATCTGTTCAACGGAAGACTTGAAATTAACATGGAAGTAGATACTTTTTGACGTGGAAATCCCTTCACAGTTTATTAAATGGAAAAAACAGCAAACTCTAAAGTATTATGTGTTGATCAACCCTTCTAGGGTACTAGGTGTGATATATTTCTATCTGCCCAAAGACTGTAATATATGAACATGAAAAACAATTAGGAAGTGAATTCATGAAAGTATCAAGCGTGGTATTTCACTGGTTACTGGGATGAAGGGTATTTGGCACATCTCTTCTTTTTAGTTCAGCTACATTTTCTAATTTTTCTGGATTAACATGTATCGCTTTTGTAAGAAGAAACAGTTACTGTTGCTTGTTTTCTTAAAAGCACTATAGTAGACATGTGATCGTGGAATTAACATTTTGGGGTACTGTTTAATGCAGATTTTAATTGAAGAATCTCAGATCTTAACCACAAAGCCCCCAGAAACAATTCCTAGTCTTCCTAGATTGTTCTGCTCATAAAAATCTTTTTTTCTTCAAAAAAAAAAAGCTATGTTCTTTCACTGGAGCAAGATTCCTGACCAGTATACAGTGATACAATTACTAAACAGAGACCTGTGCAAAAATTACATACTATCCATCCAGATAGGTTTTCATGACACTTTGCCTATTGATGGGATAGTTTCATTTATAAAGTTTTATACACCAAATGGTTTTTCACTTGACCAGCCTGCTCATTCATTTATCTCTGAAAGAGTTAAGTGGCATTTCATTTCTAGCTACTATATTTCACAGCATTAAAAAACATAGGTAGCCCTGGCTGGTGTGGCTCAGTAGATTGAGTGCTGACCTGTGAACCCAAGGGTCGCTGGTTTGATTCCCAGTCAAGGCACATACCTGGGTTGTGGGCCGGGTCCCCACTAGGGCGGTGTGTGAGAGGCAACCACACACTGATGTTTCACTTCCTCTCTTTCTCCGTCCCTTCTTCTCTAAAAATAAATAAACAAAATATTTTTAAAGAAGCATAGGTATCAGGTAGCTTCTTAAAATGTTGCTCTGTGCACAATGGCATTTAGCAGACTGAGCAGAGTCCACCATCTTGCCCACACTCACATAGATGGGTCTTGTTTGAGAATGATATGCTAAATATATGCTAAATATATGCTAAATATGCTAAATAGCTGGTACTTAGAGACAAAAGTACTCCCGGCCTGAGTTTCTTAGCCACCAATTCAGACTTCTCACTGAAAACCTGTCTTCTCGGCCACATTTTATAGAGCCAAGGAGACATGCCAGCAATAGCCCCGTGTGTAACTCGGCTTGAGAGCAGCAGGTCTGTCTGATGGTGGTACTATTATTATACCCAGATATATATACACCCACCTTTTTAACATAGCAACTTGAAATACAAAATTAAGAGTACAATGCACTCAGAACTGAGTTTTAAGCAATCTGGTATCCTGAATGATTTAGAGATTTCAGAAACTGATAGCAAATTGTACTTGTAATATTTCCCAGCTCTGCAGACATTAGTGCGTTGGTTCAAATCCCTTTACTCCATGAACGTAGCCCTGGGGTCAGCCGGCAAAGACCGGGGAATGAACCCGCAACCCTTTGGTTTGCAGGACGATGTCCAAGCAACGGAGCCACGCCAGTCAGTGGTAGGTTGACATGGTTTGACAATATGTTATGCAATTCAAACTTGAAAATTCACATGTGTCCTGAGAGGGAAGCATCACATCCTTGGTGTACACATTTAGTTTTATTGTAACAAAGCAACTTGCACACTTTTAACATTTAAAACTGAGCATTGCCTTTCCAGTGAAACAGAAATTTCTTAAATGAACAGGAACAAAATTACAATAGAATACATTGCACAGGCTCTGCTGATCCTCCTGTTGAGTGACGGTGCTCAAGTCTCCATTAGGGAAGAATTTTATTTGAAAAGTGTCATCTTCAATGGCAAGGATGTCCACTAAATGTCACAATTAAACATGCCAAAGGGGAAGCTGGCTTATAACCCCTTTTATTTTTTAGTTCTTTTTTTAAAACAAAAGGAAGTAGACAGATACATGTTAGTAAATGCTGACTATCCATATTCTATTAGAGACACAGTGTAATCCCTGAGTCCAATATACAGAGAAAGGAGAGAAAAAGCTAGAATTCTATTCACTGCTACACAGGCACCTAGAACCCTCCAGCTTCCAGCAGAACTAAGGGAACAGAAGGTTTTTCTTTTTCCCCCACAGAACACAGTGTGTTGATTCCATAATGTTTTTTGTTGAGACAGGAAGAGACAAAAAATGAATTTGGAACACAAAGGGGCAGAGATTCTTTCCCCCCCATATTCTGCTAAAGGTACAACACCCCCCAAATGAGGCAAGAACCACGGTGTGAAGGAGAGAAAAAAGACCTCAAACACAGGGAGACTGGGCACGAGAGAAAAGAACAACGGGGACTGGAGAAAGTTAAAAACAAACACTGGAATCCATCAGTGTTCCATCGGTCATCTTCTGTTTCATCTTCTTCTCCTTCATCTTCATCATCCTCATCTTCTCCTTCCCCTTCTTGATCATCCATGTCAGGGACCAAGTAGTACTGTCATGGATTTGGCCACATATCATCGTTGATGACTTCTCCTGCCTCATCTGCACCTGCATCAGGATGGTCAGTAAAGCAGGTGAAGAAGTTCTCTGGTTCCTCACGCTGCCTGCCTTTACTCTGCGGTCCACTCGAACGTTTTGTCAGTGAGTCCATTGGATGTCAGTGGACTTTGGAAATAAATCACCACTCTCATTCAGATAAAATTCCCCGGAGAGAATTTTGGTTTTGAAATGGGGATTTTCATGAAAATAATGATGTATTCTGTCATCTGATTTACTATCTTTAAATTCCGTCACTTGAACTCTTGTCAAATAATTGTTTTGAGCCCTTTTCCAAGCAGTGCAGACACTTGTGCATGGGTGACAAGCCTTGTTACTCAGAAATTGGGGATTTTGGTGATCAATCCTGACCTCTTCTGGAAAAAGAAATGGTTGGCAGAGTTTGTTATATTCTGTTCTACTTTCCAAATCTCCTCCCTGGATCGTTCCTTAAGTCTATTTCATTTTCTGTTTTGTCAATATGTTCGATTGCTTCCTGCTGTCCCTTTTCTCCCTTCAGTGTTGAGAGGTCACAGTGTTCTCTGGCTCGGGGACGGGAGGCAGTCCCTTCTCTGATCTAATTGGGAGCAAAGACTGGCTATTGGGGGCCCTGCTGGGAGGCAAGTCTGAGAATGAGACCACAGGGAAGTTACATGTCTTGCAGAAGCTCTGAGAACTGCTGCTCAGAGACATCGGCAGGAAGGAAAATACAAGCCAGAAGCTGGGGTTCATGTTCAGTCGTGTGGGGGACCAGGCTCCAGTCCTCTTCCACTTAAATTCACTTCTTATTCTGCCCTGTGCACAGAAAGTTCATGGTCACCATCCTGCACGAATAGATTCTTTAAATACTAAGTCATACATTTGAGCTTTCATTTCTCCACACTGGCACCTTCTTTTTTTTTCCTCAGATTTCTGCTTCTGAATCTTTTTCCTTTTATTTATCTGCTGCTGGGACATTTGGCAATGTATGGGGACATTTCTGGCAGCCACAACAGGATGGCGGTGCTGCTAACACTCAGTGGGTGGTAGGCAGGGGTGCTGCTCAGCACCCCACAGTGCCCAGGACAGCCTCTCAATGGAGAAATGTTCCAGGCCGGGTTATCAATAGCGCTGAGGTGGGGAAACCCTGCTTTAGAATCACTAAAGGTGATATTCCTGGCATGTGGAATATAGCCACCTGTCTGTTCATACACTGTTTCCCAATCGATGCACAGGAAACTGCCAAGGGTGGTTATTTGGGGCCAAGAACCCAGTGGCTGTGGCCATGAAGAGAAGTTGTCATAGACATGGAAACACATTACATAGTAAAAACCAGTGTTCAAGCCCCCATACATGAATGCCACCAATATTACTGGATTCTCGCAGCAGCCTGACAAGGGGGAGCAAGCATGCTGTGGCCTGTTTTGAAAGCAGCCCTGACCTGACAGTAGTCACCTGCTCTGCTGCCTGGGGAGCTCTGTGCTCAGGTAGGGTTCTCCACCAGGTGCCTGGACTTGTCACTCTGGCGCCACCCCAGCTCCCTGGGGCCCTCCACAGCATTTGCCAGGTTACATCCAAATCATTCACTCACATGCACACCCAAGCTTCTGAAG